GAGGAAATTGTTACTGAAGGGGTTCTTGAAGAAAAAGTTTTTCCAAATCAACCTTGAGGATAAGGTTGATGTTCAATGAGAGGGTATTGTTAGGATATTAATGGTAAAAAAGAAAATAGCAAAAAAAGGAAGTGCAAATTGGTTTTTTGCGTAACATTTTAGGGTTATGGTTAATTAAACTCTAATCGTCTCTTTATTTTTGTGGCCAACATCCCATTCCGTGGCCGCCGCTGCGCATCTAATGGCCACTTGATTCGGACCACTAATATTGTTTGCTTTATTGCTTTTAGGCCTATAAAAGGCTCTATTCTATTACTTGTAAGGATCACCAGAAAAAGTAATAAAATTAACTATTTATTTCTCTTCTCGATTTCGATCTTTTCTTCTTCTTCTTCTCTTTTTCTTCTTCATTTACTTTAGATTAGACAACCATGACAAAAGCTTCTGACAGTGTACTCGTTGCAAAAAACTGAGGTTTAGAAAAGAGAAATACTGGACAAACTGAATGGTAAGCCTCCAAGTAAAAGAGTGAGGCCACCGAGGAGGACAACAAAGAAACCAAGGCTAATTCAAATTCACCCTATATCAGTTAAATAAAAAAAACCTGAAGCCAGAAGCTAGACTAAGTTCAATAAAGAGAAAATCGAGAAAAATAAGGGGACTTCTGGTACTCATGATATGAATTGTAATGTGAATTATAATATAATTTTTTACATAATATTTTAGGACCAAGATTAGGGAAAGAGAATTCAACTTGCTAGGAAATAGGACGAACTTTACTATCTTGAAGAATCAGGAAAATCATATTTAGGTAATGGTAAATTATCTATGTTGCTTTTCTCATCATGCAATAAAGGTATTATTTGACTTTATCATTTTAGACTTCGACACCCATCTCTTCAGAATTTTAAAAAGTATGTTTCCTTCTTTGTTTAATAAGTATTGATCATTTTTATTGTGATGCGTGTGAATTTGTAAAACACAAGCATGTACCTTTTTCAGTCAGTAAATGAAAAAGCTTAATCCCGTTTGACTTGATCCATACTGATATTTGGAGACCCACTGCAGTTCAATATATGTCTTAGTCATGATGGTTTATTTCCTTTATTAATGATTGCACTAGAGTCGTTTGGATATTCCTTCTTAAACCAAATCAAATGTGAGCTATGTGCTTTCAAAGCTATGATTCACGATTTATTTGGTGTTAGAATCAGAAGATTTTGCTGTGATAGCACACGAGATTATTTAAACCAAACTCTGTTTCCATTTTTTGTAAAAAATGAATTATTCATGAATTCACATGTCCACATACTTTGCAACAAAATGAAGTAGGAGAGAGAAAAAATGACAATTTGTTAAATATGACTCGAGCATTTCTTTCTCACCAAAATGTTCTTAAAACCTGTTGGGAGGAACCTGTGAATACAGCAGCTTAAATAATCAATGTCTATTTTCTGGGGTTTAAAAATAAATGGAGAAACCTTCTCAATTTTATCCTGATCTAAACATAGCAAATAACCTCATCTCAAAAGTTTTTGGATGCACCGTTTTTATTCATGTTCATAGCTAAATAATGGGAAGTTAAATCGAAGAGCTATTAAGTTATATTCATCGATATTTGCCAATGCTCCTGTTAGGTGGTCTTTTTCCCTCTTTCATACCCTGACAACATGACAGATTGCAACCAAGCTAGATAGTTTTGGCCATTTGACTTGCATCCCATGATGGATACCACTGGACTGTCAATCCCGCTGTTCCCTGTCGAAACGGCTTCTGTTGAATACACAGCTTCTGCCTTTGAGCTTGGAGGTGGCCAGTCATGCCATATTTCCACATTCTCAGTATTTTAGGTTAGATAGATCAAAGAACCATGCTACGATACCATGAATAAAGCTGTAATTTTTATTTCATATTTTCCTTCTGCAATATTACATTATTTATAAGGTTAGATACCAAAACAATATCTCCCAAAAAGTGAAATGAAAATATACTTCCCAAGAATTTAGGAACTTTTCTCTTTTTTAGGATTCTAGTATCAATCTAGAACCTAGTTCTTCTCCTATTTCTTCTTCTAGATTATCTCCTAATATTTCTGCAGAAATACGTCTTCTAACATTACGATGACTAACTTTTGATCTCCTCTTATACAGTAGTATTCCTTTCATGCATGAATATAAGATTTCTCTAATTTACATTACTTAAATTTA